AAATGCCTAACAATGGCCATGAAATTTGTCCTTGTCAACACCTGTTGGCAAGAAGCCCCGCGACTATCGTTGTTCACGTGACTGCCGGGTCACTCACAGTGGGCTGACTGCGGGTTTAGCATGATTCAGTTTCGCCCTTGGTCTCACTCATGCATACTCCTTCGCGAAATTTGTTTTAGCTTATATGCTCAATTTTTGTTTTTGCTGGCCGTTTTTTTCGACAGAAGTCAGGAAACGATTGATAAGCCATAATTAATCTATGTGAACAAGTAAGCTTTACTCTGTCTTCACCAAATTTCATTAAAAAGTTCGATTCATACAGGCGGCAAGTTTTTTGGAAAAAGATTTTTGGAAATAAGGATTTGGAAGATCAGTTTCTTGAAGGATACTTTTAAGTAGAGTTTCACACTGAGGAATGGAAACGAGAGCGGGAAGGGGGCTGAGAGGAAGGGGAAGCGGGGAAGGGGAAAGAGAGAAACAGCCTTTCTTCTTTAGACGAGGAAGAAAACAAAGAGGAGGAAAAGGTAGGCTCAGTATACGTGAAATAGGGCTGACTTATAAAACAACTGTCACTTCGTGAAATAGGGCTGGCTTATAAAACAACTTTGAATCATTTGGAAAAGGATAGTTAACAGAAACGAACGTTGAATCGTTCGTTTCTGTTAACTATCCTTTTCCAAATGGCTCAAAGAGCCCACAATTTTTCGTTCATTCAGACGGTTTATTCGCTCAAATGGCCTAAAACCTGTCTTCCATTCTGAAGGCTTAATATTTTGGTTGTCCTTGATTGTTTTTGATTTTGGTTTTATAGGCGTCGAAGTTTGGTTCTCCTCAAACTTTGCGAACAATCCAAAATTCACAATGCTTATACTATTGTCATGTGGAGCTGATATATTTAATAGCATCTCATGTTTATCGTCACCACAGTGGTCCCAGACTCGTCGTTGCTGGATTCTCAAAGGCGATATTGACGGTCGACGTGCAACATAATGTTGAGGAATAGCCCGGTTGACCTAAATAAAAAAATTAAATTGCGGTGAGAAAAAAAAAACACTTTAAAATACGTGTATCTGAAATGGTGGAATTAAGCGTTTTCGAAGACCTCCGCCAGTTTTAGTTTTTAAAGTGACAGCCAAATGTTGCACGATGTTTGGATTGCGCTAAAACCAGTATAATCTTGAAAACTCAAATACAAAATCCTAAAACCTTTTTGTCGCCTTGACGATTATATGTTGGCTTCAATATCTTCGCATACCAAGGTACAGGAGGTTTAGGTGACTGTATAAATGTTCGATTGCGGTGTTCTTGGGACGGTCTGCACGATGGACGCGAATGGCAATCTCGGGAGATCCTTTGCTTTCCGGAGGCTACGGAACACGTTGCATTTTCCTGGAAAGAGCTATCGGCTTGAACGAGGTAGTAGAGGCTTAAAATGTCAAGCAGTCGGAAACTAAAATATTTCACCAAATGCAACAAAGTTTGCAAAATTTTCCAAAAATTACCTCTGCTTTTCAATAAGTCCTATGCAGCTGGAAAGGGGATGGACAATGACAAGAACTGCCAACAGATGCTAATTTCAGGCTATTTACCATGAAAAGTTGTAGGGATTGTTTTTTTCCACTTTATTACTGGATCAAGCATGGCAAAACAGCGTCCAGATTGACTCTGAAGGAACATTTACCGTAAATGTGAGGGTTACTCAACAGGCTTCCCACTCCTGTTGAAAATCATTCAAGACCACGGTAGCAAAGCAACAGGCTTGCTGGTAAGATCATCCGTTTTTGCGCTAAACTTGAAGTAATCAAGTCGTTGAGTATTATGAATAGTTACTGCTTTATATTTAAGTTGTGCATTCGCAACCGCAAAGCTACCGTAAATTTTGCAAGAAGGAAAATGAATAACTTTCGGTGACTGGTCGTTCATTGGAAATGATCCGAGTCCTGGTTCCCGAGTTAAAAATTTTTTCACCAAAACTTTTATGTACCCATATGTGAGACTCAGAAGTGCGTAAGAGTTGGTAGCTAGTTCCTGGAATAACGCTTGACCATGGAACCCACTGGCAAAATTTCAGTGTCAAAGCTTTGCCTAGTTATCAAGTGAAAACACCTAAAAGGACACGCACCTACGCATACACACAGCACACATAAATGCACAAATAACATACGCACACACACCAAGGTTGCCACAACATACGTTTTTATGCGTTTTTGCTGTGCAGCGCTGCACAGCAAAAACGCATATTGTCGAGAGGCTGTCTGTGTGTGTGTGTTTGTGTGTTCGGAAAGCGAGTGCGTTTTGTCACCCACTTTCAA